GGTTTTGTTCAATATCTTTATTAATGATCTGGATGAGGGTATGGATTGCACCCTCAGCAAGTTTGCGGATGACACTAAGCTGGGGGGAGAGATAGATACGCTTAAGGCCAGAGATAGGGTACAGAATGACTTAGACAAATTGGAGGATTGGGCCACAAGAAATCTGATGAGGTTCAACAAGGACAAGTGTAGAGTCCTGCACTTGGGACGGAAGAATCCCAAGCATAGTTACAAGCTGGGGACCAACCAGTTAAGTAGTAGTTCTGCAGAAAAGGACCTGGGGGTTACAGTGGATGAGAAGCTAGATATGAGTCAACAGTGTGCCCTTGTAGCCAAGAAGGCTAATGGCATATTAGGTTGCATTAAGAGGAGCATTGCCAGCAGATCCAGAGATGTCATCATTCCCCTTTATTCGGCTTTGGTGAGGCCGCATCTGGAGTATTGTGTCCAGTTCTGGGCCCCCCACTACAAAAAGGATGTGGATGCATTGGAGAGGGTCCAGCAGAGGGAAACCAAAATGATTAGGGGGCTGGAGAATATGACCTATGAGGAGAGGCTGAGGGACTTGGGTCTGTTTAATCTGCAGAAGCGAAGAGTGAGGGGGGATTTGATAGCAGCCTTCAACTTCCTGAAGGGAGGTTCCAAAGAGGATGGAGAGAGGCTGTTCTCAGTAGTGACAGATGGCAAAACAAGGTAGGAAAAACTATTTCACTAGGAGGGTGGGGAAGCACTGGAATGGGTTCCCTAGGGAAGTAGTGGAGTCTCCATCCCTAGAGGTGTTTAAGTCTCGGCTTGACAATGTCCTGGCCGGGTTGATTTAGTTGGAATTGGTCCTGCCTAGAGCAGGGGGCTGGACTTGATGACCTTCTGAGGTCTCTTCCAGTTCTATGATTCTATGATTCTCTGATGGGGTTGAAGCTAGATTCCAGCTCTGGCCTGTGTGGGAGGTGGGAGGGCTGCCATGATTATGAGGGTTAGCCAGCAGCCTGGGGACTTGTAGCCAGGTGGAGTGGCCAATAGGAATGTAGGTAGGAATTTCAAACTGGGACAAAGGAATTTTTGAGTTTTTCCCTCCTTTGGTCTGGGCAGTTTCTCTCCAGTTACTGAGGGAGACAGACAGACTGTCTCCCTCCCAGAAAAGACTCTTCACTGTATGTAACTAGGGTAACGTTTAGATAAATTAAAAGACATTTTGGCTTTTCTTTGTAACTAAATTCTAGGCCCATGGAGTTTCTCCATGGCTGTGTCTACACTGGCGTGAATTTCCGGAACTGCTTAAAACGGAATACTATTCTGTTTTCAGTTTTTCTGGAAAAAGAGCATCTACATTGGCAGGCTGCTTTTCCGGAAAAGCCCTTTTTCCGGAAAAGCATCTGTGGCCAATGTAGACGCGCTTTTCCGGAAAAGAGCCCCGATCGCCATTTTCGCAATCGGGGCTTTTTTCCGGAAAAGACTACTGGGCTGTCTACACTGGCCCTTTTCCGGAACAGTTTTCCGGAATAAGGACTTATGCCCGAGCGGGAGCAGAATAGTTTTTCCGGAATAGCGGCTGATTTTGTACAGTAGAGCATCGTTGCTTTTCCAGAAATTCAAGGGCCAGTGTAGACAGCTCGCAGCTTATTCCGGAAAAGCGGCTGATTTTCCGGAATAAGTGGCCCAGTGTAGACACAGCCCATGAGTATATTTTGTTACCTTTCCATCTAGTCATTATGCTTGCAACCGGAATATTGTTGTAATAATAAAAGTTCTTTCTCTTTTCTTTTTATTAACCTGGGATTGGTTAATTGTGTGCTCTGATTTTTACTTTAGGGGTGAGATTTCCCAAATGATCTTTCCTCTGATTTCTTTATTAATATTTGGGTGGTGGCAGCAGAAGTTTTTTTCCCAAAATCTGGAGTTTTAAGATTTTCGGGGAAGTTTTATACCAAAGCCTGGTAGAAAAGGTTTTAGGGTACACCTGCTGGTCTCCACTTCTGCATTTATCATGCCAGAGTGGGGAAAGAGCCATGACAAAGGCGAATCCCAGTTTCTAGCTGGGAACTGCGACATTTGAACCCACTCGGTTAAGCAGAGTGTGGCTACGGGCTGTGGGTTTGCAGAAATGTTGGTGGTGCCCCGAATGTCCAGGGCCCGCACTGGCCCCAGGCTCTGAGAGGGGGCTTGGGTAAGGGAGGGCTGTGGGCTCTGGGAGGTAGTTTGAGGGCAGGATCAGTGCAGGCTGCAGGCTCAGGGGGCCTTGATGCAGGAGAGGATCTAGGGCAGAGCCCCCTGTAAGCTGAGCTCTCAGGCGGCTGCCCAGCTGAATAGCCGAGCTCTACAGCCACACACAGCTGGCAGCCAGTACTGGTGGTGCACATCTGTACATGCCTGGGTGCACAGAACCAAATTGATTCTGCACATGGACGGGAACTATTCAAGGGTCTGTTGATCTGGGGTGCAGGTTCAGTGCCTTGATGGAGGATTTGTGGGATGCCGGCCGGCTGGTCGGACACAGGGTGTGCTGAGGTACCACTGGCCAAGGTCCTTCTGTCAAGGTGCAGGCCAGGCTTGTCCGGCTCCATGGCCATCGTCAGCCCCAACCTCCACTGGGTTCCCAGCTCCAGGCCAGAGTCACAAGAGCCTGGTGCCCAAGGGGTCTGTAAGGAACAAGCTAATCGGCAGTGACAAACCTCTGACCCTCCTCATGAGCCAGCCAGGTTCCTGCCCCCGACACCATAGGAGTGAGCCGGGCACAGCTGGCTTGTGTGAGACAGCCCTGGCTACCCAGGCCTGCTGGGCTTCGACTCCTACCAGCACCCAGCCCTGCACCTCCTGCCCAGGAGCGCCCCACACGTGAGCAAAGAGGCTACTTAGAGCTCCATGGCGGTAGGCAAATCTTGATGGAGATGGCCCAGGCAAGGCAGTGCAGAGGGCAGAGTCCTGACCTGCAAGAGCCCCAAGCCATTGGCTCTCTGCCCCTGTGAGGAGGGGGCCACGCTGGGTGTTTGTGATGGAGGCACCTAGGGCACAGCGCCCAGGCCGAGAAGGGCCCCACTGTGTGCTAGGGAGACCCGGCTGGAATGGCCGGAAAACATGTCCAGTGCAGCAGGCAGCTGCGGGGAGGGGGAGGGTGACAGGCTCTCTGGGGCAGGCGGCAGCAGAAGGAAAGCAACGAGCCAAGAGGCTGCGGCCGTCTGGAGCTACCCTCGTTTATAACAAAGCAACCAAGCTCTACCCAGAGTCACTCCAGTGCAGGGTCAGTGCAGCCCCTGTGGCTGGGGTAGCCATGCTGGTCTGCTCCAGTGGGTCTATGGATCAAAGTGTGTTCACCTCCCCACCCCCAGCCTGACACAGGCCACCAGGAGGAGTCACTTGGGCCCAGCTGATCTTGCTGGCTCCTCCAGGCCTGCCTTTTCCTTGGGACCTGGCTGCAGTTGCACTGGGAGCTGTCAGGACTGGTCTCTGGCAGACCCTGCCCCCGTCCCTGCTTTGCCCTCTGTGCACATTGGACCCCGAGCTCCCTGCTGGGCCCTGGGGCTGCTGCCCGGGGTCTGTTCCCTGCGCTGATTCTGGCTGCCTTGAGCAATGGGATCGGTAGCTGTCTAAGCCAGATCCATCCCCTCCCAGCACTCGCACTGCTGGGGCTCTGGCTGGACTCACCCTCCGGGATTTGCCCCTCCATCCCTGAAGCAGGACTGGGCTCACCAGCAAATACATCAGCCTGGCCTCCCTCTCAAGTGGTTCCTATGGATTCCCCCCTCGGAACTGTCTCCTGAGCTGTGCCCAAGGAGACCCCTGCTCCGGCTCCCATGGGGCGTGCCCACGACCGCACCTGATCCCAGTGTTACCGAACGCCCCGGGAGGTGGAGACTGGGCTGGTGTCTGTAAAGTTCCATACTGGAGATGGGGCTGACCCAGCTAGCAGCCTGGGGTTTGAGCATAATCGGAGTTCAGGAGTGTTTGGATCTGAGGGGCCGTTCCTCCCCATGCCCTATGCTACGTGAATGCCTGAGCAGGCCCTGCCCCTGCCCCTGCCCCGCCAGAGGGATCAGTGCCCCAGGAAGGACCAACGTGGTTGTTCAGCGACTCTCACAAGGGTGCCCACGGTTTCCACGTTCTTGCAGGGCCAGAGCCGTACTTGGAGAGGGATTGTGACAGGTCTGTGAAAGACCCCAGGGAGTCCCACTGGGTCACAGCAGAGGGGAATGAACCTGTGTCCAAAACTCAGCTGTCTGGCAGGCCCCGGCAGGACATTATGACAGATAGCATGTCCCCTTGGGGAAGGCCCTTGCACCCCGATCTCCTGCTGCACAGCTCCGCCCTTTCTTCCCCTTCCCCGGCAGGGCCACTTGTTCCAGGACAACTGATCTGCTGGCAAAGGTGGCAAGATCCCATGGGCAGAAACACGTCTGCTCCCAAGCGTCAGGGCCTGCAGCTGGTGAGTGCTTCTCACCAGCCCAAACCCGCATGTCCCCTTGGGGAAGGCCCTTGCACCCCGATCTCCTGCTGCACAGCTCCGCCCTTTCTTCCCCTTCCCCGGCAGGGCCACTTGTTCCAGGACAACTGATCTGCTGGCAAAGGTGGCAAGATCCCATGGGCAGAAACACGTCTGCTCCCAAGCGTCAGGGCCTGCAGCTGGTGAGTGCTTCTCACCAGCCCAAACCCGTCTCAGTGAATTTAGTTTAATAAATGAATAAAGTCTCAGCCCTAAGGGTCTGCCTGCATGTCCCTCCGCAGAGAGTCAGGGGAGCCTCCTAGGCCTGGGACGGGCTGCCTGCTTCCCTAGGGTGGGGCGACCTGCGATACCGCCTGGCCTGAGGGGGGTTTGGCTCCCATCAGGAACACCCAAGAGCTCCAGGTTAAACCTGGGGGCTAAACTCTCCTTCCAGTTGTGTCAGCACAAGCCCATTGGGCCAGAGCCTGGTCGCAGTCACCCTGAGTGAATCCGGAGGAGCCAGCACCAAATCCTGCTCTCACTGCCGGTTGTGGCAACACTCCTAAGAGGTGCCAAGGCCACATGGTTCGGGTGGAGGGGCTAACCGCACGTCAGGCCAGCTCCTCAGCTGGTGGAAATCCGCATAGCTCCACGGACTCACTGCAGTCACATATGCTCAGTGGGGCCATACTGCTTAACACCAGCCCAGGGCATGGCCCCCAGTGGCCGCTCTGCTGCTGTATCTGTGACCCCACTTTGGCCCAATGCCCCTTTTGCTTTTGCTGAAGTTTTGAGATTTGCCCCAGCTGCTCTTTAAAGAGTCATTTCTAGGGCACCTCAGGCCCCCCAAGCCCCGGCCCCCGGCCCCAGCCCAAGCCCCCCCCACTCAGATTTTGATTTCAGTCCGGAAGGTCTGTTGGACGTGCTCTGTGTGTTTGGCTGGGTGCCGCCTGGCTTTGATGGTGAGGGTGCCATCCACGCCCAGGGCCGAGGTGACGGAAGTGGGGTTCATGTCTTCAGGCAGCTGGCACTTGTGAGTGAAGGTGTTCATGACGGTCCCGTCCGCAGCGAGCTGGAAGGGAGAAAGAAAGAGACGCGGGTCACGTGAGTGGCTCTAGCATGGGCTGCCTGCACCCCAGGCTGGAGGTGAAAGAACATGGCCCCTGGGTTGTCTGGTCTGGCCCCACCTTCCCTGCTTGTGAGCTTGTGCAGATCTCTTCCTCTGCCCCCATGTGCTGGGTCCCGGGGGCGGGCTGAGTGTCTCGGAGAGGCTCAGAGGAAGGCAGCTGCAGAGAGGCAGGGTTAGAAGAGGAGACTGGGCATCAAGACACCAGAGTCCTGTTGCTGCTTGTCCCTGCTAGTGCCCCTCGTCTGACAGTTGGACCAAGGACCGTCGGGCAGGTGGGTAGGTGGGAGCTGAATTTGTGCCTGCTTGGAAAGCACTTTCTGCTCGGTGGAAGAAGGGTCCAGAAATGGGCAAAGGCTGGCTGCTGTGGGGAACTTTTCTGTGCGTCCTCAGAGGCACTGCCAGGGCTGCCCGGTGGGGGCCCACGCAGGGCTCTGCTCTCACAGGTGTGCAGGGGACGAGTGGTTGCTGTGGAGAGGCTCACATCTGCGTGAGGAGTCCGAGATACCCCCGAGGGGTCTGTGCAAGGGGGCAGCTGCAACTCACAGCGCTTCCTATTGGCAGGAGCTGTGAGCTCTCCATGGTGCCTCCTGCTGTTTGGGCTGATTGTGCTCATGCGCCCAGCCATGGCATCCTGCATCCACCTTACAGTGACTCCAGCTGGAAGTAGCTGTAAGCTCCCCATACCCAGAGCTCCTGCACCACGTGCTACAGTGTCTCTGGCTGGAAGGGGCTAGGGTGGCTGTAGCTGTAAGCTCCCCATCCCCAGTGCTCCTGCACCACGTGCTCCAGTGTCTCCGGCTGGAAGGGGTTAGGGGGGCTGTAGCTGTAAGCTCCCCATCCCCAGTGCTCCTGCACCACGTGCTCCAGTGTCTCCGGCTGGAAGGGGTTAGGGGGGCTGTAGCTGTAAGCTCCCCATCCCCAGTGCTCCTGCACCACGTGCTCCAGTGTCTCCGGCTGGAAGGGGTTAGGGGGGCTGTAGCTGTAAGCTCCCCATCCCCAGTGCTCCTGCACCACGTGCTCCAGTGTCTCCGGCTGGAAGGGGTTAGGGGGGCTGTAGCTGTAAGCTCCCCATCCCCAGTGCTCCTGCACCACGTGCTCCAGTGTCTCCGGCTGGAAGGGGTTAGGGGGGCTGTAGCTGTAAGCTCCCCATCCCCAGTGCTCCTGCACCACGTGCTCCAGTGTCTCCGGCTGGAAGGGGTTAGGGGGGCTGTAGCTGTAAGCTCCCCATCCCCAGTGCTCCTGCACCACGTGCTCCAGTGTCTCCGGCTGGAAGGGGTTAGGGGGGCTGTAGCTGTAAGCTCCCCATCCCCAGTGCTCCTGCACCACGTGCTCCAGTGTCTCCGGCTGGAAGGGGTTAGGGGGGCTGTAGCTGTAAGCTCCCCATCCCCAGTGCTCCTGCACCACGTGCTCCAGTGTCTCCGGCTGGAAGGGGTTAGGGGGGCTGTAGCTGTAAGCTCCCCATCCCCAGTGCTCCTGCACCACGTGCTCCAGTGTCTCCGGCTGGAAGGGGTTAGGGGGGCTGTAGCTGTAAGCTCCCCATCCCCAGTGCTCCTGCACCACGTGCTCCAGTGTCTCCGGCTGGAAGGGGTTAGGGGGGCTGTAGCTGTAAGCTCCCCATCCCCAGTGCTCCTGCACCACGTGCTCCAGTGTCTCCGGCTGGAAGGGGTTAGGGGGGCTGTAGCTGTAAGCTCCCCATCCCCAGTGCTCCTGCACCACGTGCTCCAGTGTCTCCGGCTGGAAGGGGTTAGGGGGGCTGTAGCTGTAAGCTCCCCATCCCCAGTGCTCCTGCACCACGTGCTCCAGTGTCTCCGGCTGGAAGGGGTTAGGGGGGCTGTAGCTGTAAGCTCCCCATCCCCAGTGCTCCTGCACCACGTGCTCCAGTGTCTCCGGCTGGAAGGGGTTAGGGGGGCTGTAGCTGTAAGCTCCCCATACCCAGTGCTCCTGCACCATGTGCTACAGTGTCTCCGGCTGCGAAAGCCTGGGACTGGAGTAGCTGGGAGTCTGGTGGCACTTTAAAGACTCACAAATCAAATGTATTGAGGTGCTAGAGCAGTAGCTTCTGAGAGCTACAGCCCATTTCCTCAGACGCTGAAGAGAAAAAGCATGAAAGACAGAAAGAGGGGAAAGGGTTAGAGAGCTGGGACTGACCTTCTGCACGTGGCAAGAAGGCAAGAGTACCTGACTGATGGGAGCGCCATTCCATGTGCTTGTTTGGACCTCGCTGCAGCGTGTCACATTTGCATATGAATTCAAGCTCAGCAGTTTCGCTGTGCAGGCTGGTTCTGAGGGTTTTCTGTCTGAGAATGGCAACTGGCAAATCTGAAACTGGGCACCCCGGGAGGTTAAAGTGCCCCCCACTGGCTTTTGGATGCTGCCATTCTTAATCTCTGATTTGTATCCACTGAGTCTATTGCACAGAGATAGTTTGATTTGGCCAATGCACATGGCAGAGGAGCATTGCTGGCACATGTTGGCATTTATCACCTTGGCGGATGTGCAGGTGAACAAGCCTTTGAAGGTCTGGCTGATGTGGTTAGGTCCTGTGATGGTGTCATGAGGGGTGTGGACAGAGTTGGCAACGGGGTTTGTAGCAGGGATGGGTTCCCAGATCAGTATTTCAGTTGTGGCCTGTGGTATTTATTTCAGGTTGGGGACTGTCTGTAAGTGACGACTGGCCTGCCTCCAAAGGTCTGTGAGCAAGGGACCGTCATCTAGGATAGGTTGTAGACCCCGATGATGTGCAGGAGAGGTTTTAGCTGGGGGCGGTAGGTCCTGTCTAGTGGTCTGCTGCTTTCTTTGTTGGGTCTGTCCTGTAGTAGGGGGCTTCTGTACACAATAGCACCTCCTGCTGGAAGAGGCTGCTGCTGGTGTTGCCTGTCTTTCTCCCTAGATAGTGTGTCTGAGTTGTGCCCTGACATGTTTCCAAACAAGGAGCTGCAGTCAGAGTGGAAGCGCAGGAGGGTCTTGGGAAAGTTACATCATTCTGCAGCTCCCAATGGAGTGATTAAGCGCAGATATTAAAGCACCATGGCTACTCTCCAGAACATAGTGTTCCCAGAAAGTGGCCTGGGAGTGAGCAGAGCCCTTGAATGGCAGAGAAGATCAGGATGTACCAGCCAGGGAGAGGAGATAGCCCTGGAGAATGCCTGTCCTCATACCCTACGTCCCCAGGATAGGCACCGTGTAGGCAGAGCAGGGCAAGTTTCCCCAGTATTGTCCTGCTGCCAGTGTGCTTTGATCTGCCCTAGAGGGGATAGGAGGGCAGAGGGCATCATCTAGGGCTGCACTTTTCACTATTTGGCAAAAAAAGGTCAAAGTGAGAGCTCTACCAGCTTCAAAATTAACACGCTGCTTGCTCCTTAGTGGCATCATGTTACAGCCAAATACCATCAGCTACACACCCCACAACTGAAACACTGATCCAGGACCCCATCCCTGTAACTTCGTGTTACAGAGCCAGAGTTAGTGGCATCATGTTACAGAGTTACATGTTACTGGAGGAACTAAAGCAGAGGCTGCACGCACAGTAAAACAGTGTCCTTTATAACACAATAGCCTGGAAAATATACGGATTAAAAAGGCGAGTGCACTTTTTAAGAGGAGAATAATACAAAGCTTCCTTTAAAAACTGGCTGTGCCAAGGCATGCCTCTTCCTCTGAGCCCCCGAGCCCTGACTCTGCTCCCTGGCGGGGCCGCTGTATGGGCAGAGCAATCTCTGGCAGAAGCGCTGGGTAGGTAGAGCAGGAGTTCAGGGATGCCCATTTTTCCAGGGTTCCCCAATTGGCTGGGGCCCCTGGACACAAGCCCCCATTAGACCATTAAAGGAACCTGGGCACAGCGAGTCTATTCTAGGCCTTGCATATAGAATAATAATCGAGATGCAGCCGTGTTAGGCTGGTCTGGCTGAAACAAGAGGCAGGACCGTGCAGCACTGTAGAGACTAACAAGATGGTTTGTTAGGTGATGAGCTTTCGTGGAGGTGGGTCTGGCCCAGGAAAGCTCATCACCTAATACACCATCTTGTTAGTCTTTAAAGTGCTGCACAGTCCTGGCTTTTATTCTAGGCCTGTAATTCCCAGCTGAAGAGGGCAGGGTCACACATGGGGCTGTAGAAGATCCGTCAGCCAGCCAGCAAAAGAGAGCACTTTGAAAGACAGGGTAGTTGCTGGGAGAAGGCTGAGGGAGATGCCTGCCAGCTCTGAGCTGGGGCAGAGGGCCGAAGGCAGGGAAGCAATTGGGACTTGCCCATTGATGTCTTCTTGCAGAAGGGGCCAGAGGGAGTGAAAAATGCTCCCAGCAGAGGCGGTTGGGTTTGCATGGGAAGAGTGGAGTTGCACCCCAGAAAGGAGGATGGGGTGGGGCTCCTGGCAGAAGACACTGGGGACTGGGAGAATGAAAGGCTGGGTTGGTCAGGATTATGTGTAGGGCCTGTGCGTTAGACACTCTTTGCACTAGAGGATGAGCTTCTGCCAAGCTTCTGGGGACTCAGAAGGGAAACTGGGCCACTCGCAGGGCTGCCCTGAGGGGGCTCCTGGCGGGAGGCCTTTACAGTGGGTTTGAGCAGTGGGGCGGAAGGCTCAGGCCCAGGCTGGGTGGACTGGGGGGCTGGGTGGAGATGCTGTGCCCAGTCACAGTCGTTCGGGGGAACACATGGCCTGGGGCCTGATGTGTACCCACAGCTTGTCCTGCCCGTGGTGCCCATAGCACCTCCAAGGCAACTGACCTACCCGGGGGCAGAGGGAAGGTTATGGGTGGCGTTCTCCTGGGCACGCAGAAGGCCGCTACAATGGGGACATTCACCTTCTCAGCGCGGACCTCGATCTGGTTGTTGGAGGTGGTGACGATGATGTCCTCAGGGGAGAAGTCGCTGACGTCCACGGCAAACTGGTAGGTGTCTCCCAGGGTCTTGATGTTCCCCATGTTGCCTGGCCGGGCTGCGGGGAGGGGAAAGAACAAAGTGACGTACTTCTGATCCCTGGGCTGGGATTTCTCGCCATCTCTTCACCTGGAGCTGGCTTAGATCCAGCTGTACAGGGGCGGGGGGTGGAAATCTGGGTGGATTTCTTATCCTTGACTGGAGCAGAGGAGGGGGGTTTTTTCCCCCCCCCCCCAGATATTGGGCATGACCCCAGACCCACTGAAGTCTGGGGAGTCTTCTAAGGACTTTGGATCAGTGTCTGTGCGCCTCTCAGTAACCTGCGCCTGGAGCGGGGGACTCAGCAGACAGGTTTTAACTGCAGCACTACTCTGCTGAACACATTGTTGGTGCTCTGAGAGGGGCTTTCTCTTTATGGTGGCGGGGGGGGGGGGGGGGGGGGGGGGGGAGGGGAGGCAGTGCCTGGGGAAACCAAGCATGGGACTTTCAAAACCGCTTGTGCAGAGTCTCATCCAACAGTGCTCGTGCAAAAGCCTGTGATTTGCGCACAAAGTTACTGTGTTGCATTGGCACAAGCGAGGCAGTTGGAGGTGTGCCGCGGAGAACAAGAGAATTCAAAATGGCCACGCTAACAGGGGCAGGTGACCTCCCCCCTCCAACTTTCCCCTGACCCTTTTTCTCCGACTTCTTTTTTTTCTTTGCTCAACAAAAAGTCTTTGGTGTTCCTCATAAAAGAATTGATTGTTTGGCGTTCCTCGGTCTTACACAGTTTAAGAAACACCGCTCTAGAAATAAGGCAGTGTCCCACAACACCGGCCACAGCCCGACAGCAGGCCCCTCTTATGCTGCGATGTTGAGGGCAGTGAAACGGGCTTGAGTCTGCTTTCACTTTCCACTGGTTTACATCTAGAATCATTCCCTTGAAATCAATGGGCTTGTGCTGCTGTCATGTGTCAGCAGTTCTGTTCCTGTGTGATGCCTCCAGCTTGGCTTTCAGCATCCGGCTGTGCCTGGGGTTGAGCTGGCAGCTCTCAGCCCGGTTCTGCCTCTTTCCATTTGGTCCATATGTGCCAGGTGGGCCCAGGCTAAGCCCTGATGCCTGCAAAACCCCTTCTGGGAAGGTTTTCTTGCAGTCATTAGCTAGAGTCCCACCGTGCTCAGTTAACTGGTCAGCCAGTAGACAGCAAGTCTGTCTTCCCTCAGGCTAACTGCTCACAGCAGCCAGCTCCTCCCCTCTGGGGTGTGAAATGCCCACAAACACAGCAGCAAAAGGCAGGACTATGTAGCACTTTAAAGACTAACGATGGTTTATTAGGTGATGAGCTTTCCTGGGCCAGACCCACTTCCTCAGGTCAATATGTGGAAGAAAATTGGCAGGACCATATGCACCAAAGGGTACAAACACAGGCTGATTGATACATTTATGCAGAGAACATCCGGTACATCATTCCAGCCTGCACTTTGCCTGGGAATGGTTCCTTGGGGTGGAACAGGGGCCAGGTCACCCCTCATCCACAGGCTGGAGCTATGCCGAGCCCTCTGCAGCGCGGCCAGTGGGCCCCAGCGGCATTGGCTGCCTGCGTACGTCACGTGACCTGGCTTCTCTTTACATTTCATCACAACATGGGGTTTTCGGTTTCTCGAACACCTGGCTTTTGGCTGCAGACTTGCTTTCCCGGCTACCTGAGCGCACAGCCCTCTCACCCGGATTGGGGAACACAAAGGGAAGCGGCTGCACTGGGGGACACTTACACAGACAGATCTCCCCAAAGGCTCCTTCGAAAGGTGGCCTAGCCTGCCCCCGAACGGACTCTCTCCACCGGACGACCTAATAGGGCCCCTGAGATGGGGGAGTTCCTGTGTTGCTGCTGTCTCCAGCTCAGAGAGACCCTGTGAGAAGGCAGGGGGTGAGGTAGGAGCCTGGGCCCCGCTGACACCCTGGTGAGAGCATAGAGGTGACACTGACACACTCGGACAACACCCCTCCTCCTCTGCCAGAGCCCCCACTGTCCATGCAAACTGACATCAGTTCCTGCCATTTCCCTGCGGGGTCCCAGTGATCAACCCCTTGGGCTGCCCTGATGCTCTTACGGGAGACACCGGGAGGTTCCCAAGGCCTGTCAGCTGCCAGCTGCGCCCCCTGAGACCTGCATAACCACCCAAGGGCAGGCCGGGGTCCCCTGTCACTGAGCTCGGCACGGTCTACTCGCCACATGCAAAGCACCAAGTGAAGGGTTAGCAGGTGCTCCTAGGTCACAGTCAAGGCAGTCCCCGGGGGAACACAGTGGTCATGTGTTCTCCCTCCTCCGCTCCCCACCCTGCCAACTCTCTGCTGTCTCATGGGGGTCTCCCTCAGTGTTAATGCGTTTTCACGTAGCTCCCCTCATCTGGGGCTGTGCCTCCCTCGGGACTCTGCCCCGCACCCCAGGAACATCTGCTGCTAGGTAGGATGGGACAGGTCCTGCCTGCTCTGTGCTTCCAGGAGCTTCCAAGAGCTGACATTGCCCATGCCTGTCTCCCTGCTTCCCCCTTGAAAACAGGCCAAGCATATGCTGGGAACAAGCAGCGAGAGAAACCACCCCCCGTTCTGGGAGCTTCAGACACTTCCCTGGCAATCTCTGCAGCACCCCTGCTGCCATGAGGCTGGGACGGGAATGGCTGCGAGTGCCCCCCACACCTGTGCTCCTGCACCGTCCCCCCAGCACCTCCTCAAGGGAGAACTGGAAGCAGAGTAGCTGTGAGAGTCCCTCTTGCTGGGGGCAGCTGAGACTGGAGACTGAGCTTTTCTGCTGGGGCAGAGGGGCCGAGAACTTCCCCCGGATTCCCGGGGACTCTTCAGGAGCAGGCGAGAAAAGCCCTTTAACACTGGCTAAGGGATGTGCACAAGGAATCAGTTGGGAGACTGGACAGGAGCTCAGCAGAAGCCAGTTTTACCCCCACCTACAGATGCAACTGCCCAATGACTCTGCCAGCAAACCACCACCACTGCCCGCTTTGCCCCCTTCCCATGCCACACGCCACCAGAGCTTGCCAGCAGGTGCCAACTTGCCTGGGAACCCCAGGGACTCGTTGCGTGGCCGCATGAAGCTCCCGAAGTCCTCACCGAACAGGCTGTGGGCTGTCTCCATGTGCTGATCCCGGGCGGGGGCAGATGAGGCCAAAGAGCTCTGTTGGAAGGTGCGCTCGGAGCGAAAGGCCGAGGAAGATTTCAAGCTCATTCACCTCCAGGGGCTTTGCAGGGAGGAGGGAGGAAAAACAGCCACCCACAAGGTGGACAAAACCCCTCTTCACTCCTGGAGGAAAATGGGAATCGGAGCTTTTCCAGGTGGCCCTGCCTCTGCCCCGTGTGCAGCAGGCTGGGAGGATGGAGCCAGCACTGTCCAGAGGCAGCTGAGGGGTTTATAAAGCCCCTGCACGCTGCAGGCTGCCTTCCAGCCCACTGGAAATCAGTCTAAATTTAGGTGCTTCTGCATCACTTGGGCGGCCGTGGAAACTTGCCCCTTCGCCAGGGCTCCAAGCAAACAGAGCGGGGAGGAATCTGATCTCATTGCTGGCATTCCAGCCTGCCTGGATAATGCAGCTCTCGCTCGCTCCTGGCTGCGCCAGGCTGCAGTGGGCTGATGGCCCATGTGTGCGTGTGGGGAGCAATACGGGAGCGCTCGGAAGGGAAAGGGGGATGGGTGTTGATGTCACAGATTAGTGCCCATGCTGGGATGACTGGGGGAGGGGGAGCGCTAGGACACGTGCCTGCCTGAATCATGCCCTTCTCTTATCCAAGAGTCTGACTCTACAAGCACCTCGCCTCTCACGGGAGGGAGGTGCGTGTTAGCCATGTTAGGGAAACTGAGGCACAACAAGGCACAGGGACTGGTCCAAGGTCGCCCAGTGAGCAGACACAGCCAGGGATAAAAGCCAGGTGCCATACTTCAGTGCTGTTTTCCTTCATGTCCCTGCTTTTCCCATTGGCCAGCCACTGCGAGTCTCAAAGCAGCTGGGAACTGTCACAATGTCAGGCTCAAGGTGAGGTTACTGCAGTGTCCTTCCAGAGGCCCTGGGAGACCAGGAGGAGCGAGTTCCTGGGAGCTTTGCTTCTTAGCCAACAAAAAGAACAGGCACTGTTAGGGCATAAATTAACCGTGCGACTGCTCCAGAGTGACTCAGCCCCTCTGATGAGAGGAGGCTCCGTCTCCCAGGATGGGTGGGGGGAGGAATTGCCATGAGCCAGGGCTAAGAAAGGGTTGATTAGTCATGGGTAGCTGTGAGTCTGGAGGGGGGTGGCAGAGAAAGGGGAGTGGCCAGGAGAGGAAAGCGAGAGAACCCTGCCATCCGCGGATGTCTGCACGTCTGCGGCTGTGGGGTGGGGGCGGAGCGCTGCAGCGCCTTTCTGCAGGTATCTGCAGGGCTCTGGAAATGGAAGCAGGACAGAGGGAGCATGAAGATCTCTGCAGATGGAGCTGTAAAGTAGGGAAGGGGCTAGGGTTGGGGTGCTGGTTAAAGAGAGCACAAGCTGGCCTGAGATAGTGAGACTGGGTCTGCCAAGGGGATGAGAGTGGGGAAATTGAGGTAGAGTTTGGGGCTCCAAGGGCAGAAGAGTGAGGGCCCTTTGCACTAGGGCCTTGAAACAAGGGCTGGGGCTCCCTGAGGCAATCTCGAGGCGCAGGCACCCGGCATGGCTGCGCTGAGAGCAGGATGAGGTGGGAGTGACGCGGAAATTCCTGCAAGGGCCTGGGTTGGGCAGCCCTGGTGCATGGGTGCTGGGGACGTGCTGCCAGGGGACACGTGCAGGTAATTTCTATGCCACCTTGGCAGGCCTAGCTCCAGACCTCCTGCTGCTCTGGTATCTCCAGCACAGGACACAGTGAGTGCCACTGAGGCTCACAAGTGACTTGAAAGGACAGGACCCTATTTCTCTACATGACTGTTACCCGAGCCCTCCAGTCACTCAAGGGACTTCGTCCTGGCTGGATGCTGGTGACCAAATGTTTCCACTGACGAATTCAGGGGGCAGGGGAATCATGTCAGCTACACGGTGGGTTTGTGCATCCTTCCCCGCACACCCCGCTCTCCCCGATATGTTCACACTTCCAGAGCCGAGGCCCCCGGCGCTTTCTCTGGGTACGTCTAAACCACATGGCTCCATCGACGGAGCCATGTAGATTTGTTGTTTTGGCAAAGGTAAATGAAGCCGCAATTTAAATGATCGCGGCTTCATTTACATTTACATGGCTGCCGCGCTGAGCCGACAAACAGCTGATCAGCTGTTTGTCGGCTCGCGCGCTAGTCTGGACGCTC